CATCTTACACCACCCATCTCACTCATCTTACACCACTCAACTCACACCACCCATCTTACACCACTCAACTCACACTACGTATCTTACACCACCTATCTTACACCACTCAACTCACACCACCCATCTTACACCACCTATCTCACACCACCCATCTTACACCACTCATCTTACACTGCTCATGAACACTCAACTCACACCACCTGCCATGCAGATTTCGTGGCAAGCGCAGTACACAGAGCCTCCCGGACCTGCTGCGGCGCGCGTGGTCGCCGCTGGGACGCGGCTGCCGTTTGTGTGGCAGGCACAGCACTTGGCGAACCTGGAAGGGAGATTTCGTGGCAGGCACAGCACTCTGTGCACCACTCATCACACACCACTCATCTTACAAGACTCATCACACACCACTCATCACACACTACTCAGCTTACACCACTCATCACACACCACTCATCTTACACCACTCATCACACACCACTCATCACGCACCACTCATCACACACTACTCATCACACATCACTCATCTCACTCCCTTTTCTCGTCCAGGATCTTTCCGTCCTCTTTTCTTCTCGTCTCTAGTTATCCGGTCCTTTTATTTTTCACTTTGCATTCAACACTCACCAGACATCACTACGCATTTCCAGGCAAAAAGCCTCACAACTTCGCTTCACTGGGGCTCCACGGAGCTCCACCGGACGACAGACGCGGTGTGCGGGACGACGGGGCGGTGGACACCGGGACACGGGACACGGGCGGTGTCCGCTCCGCGCGCTCCGCGCGCTCCGCTCCTGAGGTCTCGACGGCGTCGCAACAGGAGATTCAGGTGGGACCCCAAAAATGGGGTGGCTGGGATCCTCCGCCCACGATCCGGGCCTGGCTGGGATCAGGGTGCCTGAAAGAGCCGATGGTGGGTTGCTCAATTTTGGAGAGCAGAGAATGAGAGATCAAGGTGACCGGGTGGACTTCCAAGTTGACCTTTGTTTTTATGATCAGAAAGATGGGTGTGCGTAGAAGATGGTACGTAGAAGTACCATCAAGTACCTGTTTTGTTGTGGATCGGCAGGGTTGGAGGAGAGTGGAAGCACGTGCTGGGACCTTGGAGTCTTTTGAGGTGACCTGTTCAGGGACGATTCGTGACCGAGTCGACCCGGAAAGAAAAACAAGTTTCACGATGGATGTTTGATGATGGTTCGTGTTTTTTACTATACTATAGCTGCTTTGTTTGGGGTGGGGAGGAGCGTATTGGTAGCTTCGAAGTTCCACAAACTTGTCCTGTCAGGGGGTCCACCTGTGTCCTTTGGCTGGCTGTGAGGATGGAGATGCAATCAAAGGATTCTCCGGGGTCGTTTTGACTTCTTGCTTTTTGGACAATACCCGGAGTCTCAAAATACGAGCAGTAAAAGTACCTGGCTGCTATTGGGGCACAAACGACGTCGGGTCCGTGGAGGTTCGCAAAGGCGCAGATCTTTCAGGAACATCTTTCAGGATTCGTTTCAAGCGACCGAGGCCTTGTGACCTGGTGGCGACTAAATGATGAAGAGGAAAAGAAAAATAATAAACAAAATGCATCAGTTCGATTGATCCCCACCCTGACATTTCAATCTGACAAAATTTTAGCATGTATTGAAACACCATGCAGTCCTTCTGACATTCTTTCTGGCGGGCCTGGCATGTCTTTTGACATTTCATTCTGACAACTCTATCTGGCATATCTTCTGACTCGCCGTTGAGGTCTGGCGGGGACCACTGCCGTCCCGAACTGGCGGTTGAGGTCCTGACTCTATTTCTGGCATATCTTCTGACATTCTTTCTGGCATATCTTCAAGCATACCACGACTTTCTTCTCCACTGTTGAAGTCATTTTTTGGAGCCGATGATTTCTTATCAACCAAGGCCGGGTCGAATGTGTAGCGTTCACACCTGGAGCAGGTGCTCTAGCGGGATGCTCTTTCGTCTCTTCAGGAAGACTTGGAGTGCTCACCTTCTTCAATTTCTTATCGTGACCGATGATGTCCAGGTATTTCTCAATTGATAGTTTGAGCAGCTCTTTAGGCAAGACTTTCAACGCAGGCCTTTTCATGATGCTTGCTTGGCTTCAGCTGATTTCATGACACTCAAGTTGATGTATGAAACTTGCGCGCAAGCAAGTGTGTGTATGTGTGTGTGTGTGTGTGCATGTACAAGCTTGCAACCTTGCGTTGGAACCATATAGCTTGCAGTGTGCAGGCATGGATGGTGATACAAAGGCAAGAATGGAACAGTTGCTTGCAGAAATGATTGGAATCAACCAGAACCTGCAAGGAATATTGTTCCCGCTGACGTTGGCAAACTACACATATGGCACCAAGCTCGACTAAGCTTGAGCTTTGATGATTGATGACAAGAACCGTGGAGGAGGCTTTTGATGTTCACGCTGAATGCACACGTTAACTTTTCTGCTACTTCCAGTGGCTTTCTGCCTCCTCCCTGTGGAGATCAATTTTTGACAGCCACTGGGCGATGTTCTGCAAAGCATTGCAGGCTGGATGTGTCAACCCGCAAGGGCATCAGCTGCATACCCCTCCAGAACTTGAGAAATTGTTGAATGAGGGGTGGGAATGGCAAGCGATTTCAGAAAAGGTTGAGCAATCATTCCCAGTTACAACTCCCCAAGTATTTGAAGAGTGGTGCTACTTGAGGTCTGGCGAGGCACGCTGCCATCCGGAACTGGTGGTTGAGGTCTAGCGGGGAACTCTGCTGTCGGCAGCTGGCGGTTGAGGTCCGGCGTGGAACACTGCCGTCGGGACCTGGCGGTTGAGGTCCGGCGGGGAACACTGCCCTCGAGGGGAGCTGGCGGTTGAGGTCTGGCTGGGAACATTGCCATCCGGAGCTGGCGGTAGAGGAGGCGAGGAGGATAGGGAAAAAGAGACGCGGAAAAAAATACATATATACAATTATCTAACAACCCTCACCTGACAGGTGTGGAATGATGATGATTATAACCATTATGATAACCACAAACACCCTTGCACGCTGCTATGCTCTTCTCAGGCCTCTTTCAGCTGTCGGCGGCCTTTTTGGCACGAGGCTGAAAGCTGCGTTTGCCGCCCCAGGCCTTGAAGGAGAAGCTCGTGGAACTCCAGGTGTGCCGGCCCGCGCAGAATAGCAGGGGAGATCGGCAGAATTCACTTCGGAATCCAAGAGTGAGTTGTGTTGTTTATTTACTCAAGAGTTGACCAAATCCCTAGGAGAGGATGATCAGAGAAATGTAGGTTTGGAACGTCCAAACACCAAGGAGGTACATGGATCCCTCGGGAATGCGAGAGTGGTTTTCAACCGTGGAACCACACGTGCATTCTTTTTTAATCCCCAAAGTCACGGTTTTGGAATATGTTTGGCATAAAAAGACCGGCCACCGTTGGGAGTGAGTCTTTGAAACTCTGAAGACTCCAGTGCTATTTCATATATATATATTACTATTTGCCTATTTGCATGTCATGTTGAAATGTTGGTATGTGCGTGAAAATAGGGAGACACCCAGGTTAAAGGACTTATGTTACAAGAGCTTATTGGGGACTACAGGGTTTCCTTATGAACCGTTTAATGGTTTTTCCGCCATGGTTCGTTGGCTCTCCAGGTTTCCGTTCAGAGAGAATGCATGTCCAGAACGCCCAAGGAGGGCCACATCGCCAAAAAATACAATCCCACGTCCTTGGCTGAATAAAACAAGGCGATTGACATCTCCAACAAGATAGACTATATAGATTTGATAATGTTTGCAACATGCGTTTTTCAAGGTCAATGTGTGGTATAACAACAACCACGGCCAATACCATCAACAATTGTATATAACTGTTAACACACCATTCAGTCCCGCAACACCCAGAACTCAAGTTACCTGCACACCTGGTCGACGACATCCCTCTCCCATCATCTTCACCAAGACGACCCGAGTCGTGCGCTGAACAACACCCGACGCTCAACAACGCGCCGCGGCCCATGGCACCGTTGCTGCCTGCGGCGGTGCTGCGGCCGAAAGAAGCGCCGTCCGCGTGGACCGCGCCGCCGCAGCGATCGGCGCCGAGGCAGGGATGGGGGGTGGGCGGTTTCTTGCTTTGGAGAAGGTCTTTAGCTGATGGTTTTGGGATAGGTGTTTTTAAATGATCAACCTTTAGTTGGGACGATTGAGCCCACTAGATTCATACTATGTTTCAAGAGTGAGTCAGAAACCACCAACAAAGTGATGCGTTTACTGCTTACCCCTTGTTAGGCGGGTCTGCAAATACCTCCTCAGAAGGTGTTTGGGCGGTGTTTGCATTGGTTTGGACGGTCCAACTATCTTCTGAGGATACACTGGGAGCCCAAACAGGTCTGCTTTCATTGTGGCGATTGCCCAGGATGTCCAACCTGGCCATGGGCCGGTTTCCAAGTTTTGACCCATATGGGTGTGTATTCAAACAGGGAGACCTCCCAAAGACCTAGAAGCATAATATAAACAAAAACAGATTGAATCAGTTGGGAGGTCTCCCCATTCAGATCCGTATCCTACACAGAGGCCACCGCAACTGATTTAGCTTTCGATTGCCCAGTGTCGCGGACCGTGGCTTTCAGTGATGGAAGGATTATATAATGTATATTATTTACCCTATAGCTTTCCACATACCTTCCAAACGAAGGTACAACTGGTCCCTTCTGGCGCCTGAGGTCTGTTTCTTCCTGCTCACCTTCTCAGAAGGTGCTAGTGGATCCATATATGGACATATAGTATCTGGGTATGTACCAGGACCCACGGGAGTTGGGTGGTTGACACCCTTAACCTTTAAGGAGAATAGACACCCCAATCTGGGGGTCCTGCTATGGGGTGAGACATGACAGTCCTCACATGTGATCTTCAGCTTTATTCATCCACTGACCCTGGCATTTCAACGTCTGGACATCGCCCAAGTGAGGCGAAGAATGATCCAAGCTTTTTGGACATCCCATCCTGCCATATCCCAGACATGACTGGGTGGGCTGGCTGATTTGTCTACATCGCTACTAGGAACAAGGACGCTACGAACGGGGCTCCTGGCCGTACTACTAGGAACAAGAAGCTACTAGGAATAAGGGCATCGCTACATCAGCGTGATTAAAGAAAAGTTGAACCAGTTGTCAATACACAATTCTACACATGGAGTGCTTGGGTAGTGCTTGGGTAGTGCTTGGGTAGCTAGTTAACATATAGTAACCATACATCCCATTGACGATCATGTATGCCATTATGTTTTTGGTCTGGTATTTGTGGATGTGGTTTGCCTAGCACCGCACCCCCAGTCGTGCTGGTAACAATGCATCCACTCAAAGACCTCCCAGCGCGAAGACCTCTTCGCGCCAGGCAACTGAGAAGGCATGGGGTCTTTTGTTCCGGGTTGTTTCGCATAAGAAATAGACAGACGTGGGATCCAGGTCAAAAAGTTTGCGGTGGATTGCACTTTATTGTCTAAGGCAGACCCTCTTAAATCAAGACATCTTCATTGTATACTAGATTTAAATCTATTCTAGAACATGGTCAGGCCTTGCTTGGTTAAGCAATATGTTCTATATGTTATTTCCATGTTACATCGACCTTAACACGGAACATGTGCTCCAAGGGAGTTCTATAGGAGAATTGCTGGCCAGGTTCACATTTTGTAACGTCCTGATGGCGTTCTCAGGAAGTCTGGGACCAATTTTTGTAAGTCGCTGACGTAACTTGACTAGGCTCGGAAATGCAAGGACTGATCGACTTGGATTCCAGTACAAACTTTGGTTGAGAAAGACGTGTCATCTTCTTTTGTTGTGATCGTCGGTGGTTCTTGTGGAACGTTGCTCAGAGGACATGCAAACAAGACATTCTTTGCTGTTGGCTTGTTTCTGCGGGTCCCTTGGGAGCACTTCCGCATTCGCAGTTCTTGTGTGTCTCCTCTTTTTTGGTCAAGCAACCCACAAACGGCCATCACATATATATTTTGTTTTTTTCTTTGGATAGCAGGATAGCAAAGGGCAGCAAGACACTTGATACACCCATGAAGGGCGGCAATTGATCTCATGATGTCAATTGCATTGCGTCTACCAGAAGCTCTGGAAGCTGGGTTGTCAAGTCGTTCAGAAACATTGGGAACATCGCATTATGAAGCTCATACTGTCATAGACCATGGTGTTACTAGCAGACCATGTCCTTTCTTGATGCACGTTTGGTCTTTCTTGATGCACGGATTTGGTCCATGCACTTCTTACTGCCGGCAGCTAGAGTCAGAAAGGAAGACGCACGTCACGGGCTGCAGATTCACCGCACTCGGTCGCGGATCGGTCCCGGTCGTTGTCACCTCGGTCTCGGTCCACCGTCGGCTCACCGGTGCGCCCTGGAGAGGTCCTACTCCGCCCCTTGGCCGGGAGAGGTCCACGACCGCGAAGCGGTGCGGCGGAAGAGGAACACCGGGAACGCCACCGGTGGCGCTGATTGGCTGGTTTTCATGCTTGCCGGCACCTTCAAAGGGCTGACTATCCTACACTACTTAGGGATCTCCATTGAGCACCCCTTTGAAGGTCCAGGTGTTGTCATGCATGTCCTTGATTTGGAATTCCAAAGCACGTCCGAAGATGGGAACAGAAGCTTGTTCATCTTCCAGAGCCATATACTTGCTGGTCGAAAAAAAAACGGAAACACTATTCCCAGACACTCCATGGGACTGGTATATATGCCTACATTGACCCCCAACACCATGCCTGGCCTGATCGGCAGTCCTATGCCAGTCCCATTAGTCGTGTCTGGGATTCTTACGTCCCTTCATCCGAGCCAGAGCCGTTGGTGCATGGAGCAGAGGGGAGACCAAGTCGGTGGTCCAGACGTCCTGAGAAGTCCAAACTGGCTGGGGATCCAACCGTTACTAACCTGAGAAGGTATATACTTGGACCCGACGTTTTGGCACCTACATGTCTCAGTGTCGAACACATCATGGTACCTGAGGTTCGGTACGACTGGATCGCTAGGGAATGAGTTGGAGATGTTTGGGGTCAATGGGTTAGGGATATGGGTCTCGTCATTGCACCTCCCCCCACCGTCTACCATGGTAGGTTGACATCCCATACGGAGGGATCGGTTCATGTTTGGGTGGGAATTCTTCACCACATCACAGCGATGGCCGTAGCGACGGAGCCAGTTTTTGGACCGACGTGCGATGGGTGGAGCGAACGACACGATGGGAGTGGGACTGAGTGGCATGCCACACCGACGACAGATCCCCCTTGGCCCAGTAGTTTCAGAGGTTCTTTGGCACAGACCATACAGACCCCATGTCCCATCGACAGATGGGGGTCCATCATTGCACCACCGAACCTTGGGGTCTGTGTTGGTCCTCTCAATCCACGGACCCCACTCATCGTTGGACCCGTGTTACGTGGATCCATACCTGTGTTGTTGCGGTCGGACCGTCGAGCCAGACAGAGCCCTTCTTATCGGCTTTCAGAGTCTCAACATGTCTCAACCATTTTTTGTACTGCCCAGACGCGACCCTGGACCGAATCCTTTGGAGGGGTCAGGGGTCGAACCAATCCCTAGGTTTTGAGGGAGCAGGAAAGGGCGTCGTTCACGGAGCGTTTGGGTGTACACGTTTGGAAGACCAAAGAGACTTGAAGGGAGTGGGTGATGTATCAACCCTAGGGCTCCAAGTACCTCCTCAGAAGGTGTTTGGACCCTCTAAACCCACCCCAAACACCTTCTTGGAAGGTACTTGGAGCCCTAGGGTAAGATGTATTTAGGCTTTGTGGGATAAGTCGGGGGACGAGGGGATTTGAGTGCTGGGTAAGAAATGAGGGATTGATCTCCCAGTCTACTTTGGATCCATTCCCTCCCAGTGGCACCAATCAGTCTTCAGGTTGCTGCATGGAACGTTTGACTTTTGCCTCCCACAAGGAGTAGAGAGCTGGTTCCCGTCGATACCAAAAGTTCTCTTTCGACCTGGTCGCCGCCGCGCCGCACAACCAGATCTCTCCCACCAAAAGGCGGCGGATCTCTTTCGCATCTCCGGCATACTCAGGAGCTGCTTCGGTTCGAAGCGTACGGAGCAACCCGACCTCATCCTGGGTCGAACACCCCTAAGTCGAACGAGCCTCGTTCCTGTCGACC